GCTTGAAATGCAGACCGTACTATTTGACAAAAAATTGGTGATACTTCAGCCCAAACCGTTAAAAAAACCGGAGAAGGTTTAGAAAAAGCCGGTCAAAACCTAGAAAGAAGTGCCGACCAAGACAAATGACCTCGTTGAGTTTTACCGGTAGTAATTATAGTTGGTTTGGCAGCACTAGCTGGCATAGTCATCTGAATTTTTGCCAAAAGGAAGAAGAGAGAGAGAGAGAGAGAGAGAGAGGATAAGTTTTCTCGTTTCTCCTAAGAAAAGTTTATGCTAAATTACTAAATAACAAAAATTATGCAAAAGTCTCAACAAAAAATTCAAATTATTCAGCAAGGAAATGTCTATTTTTTTTATCGTCCAAAAATAGAAAACCAAGCAGACGTGCAAAGGTTTTTCTTTATCCTAAACCCCGAAAAACAAAAAAAATATTACCTGCTAATTGTCGGTAAAAAGCACCTACCAGAAACCAAAAAACACGAAAGTTATTTTCTTTTAGTAGACAAAGTAAGTGCGGATAAAAAAGCCCTTTTGGAATCTCTCGAAGAAAAACATTATCAGACCAAAACCCGCGGGGAAAGAATACAACCGGCTTCTCACGATCTAGCCGAAGGAAAATATTTAATTGTCGAACATCAAGGACATACTCATTTTTGCTATCAAATTACTAATCCTGCTGAGTTGAAAAAAGAACAAAGAGAGTTCAATCTGCAAAAAGAAGACGACTATTTGATTAGTGTCAAAAATCCTCAACAACCTTCTCCGCCCGGGGTAGGATTGGGAGAAAAGCAAAAAGTTAATTATCCGCCGGAAGTTCAAAAAAAGTTTGCTGATTATCGTTTTATTAGTTTAAGAGAAACAGAATTTTTGCAAGAGGGGGCAGAAATTCTATTAACTACCCAAGGGAGACAAAACTTAACGGAGCGTGATGGATATTTACAAAACTGCTGAGAAAAAATTCCAACTGACAGTTGATTAAAGGAATTAGCCATTAGCTAAAATTAGTTAAAAGCCAAGAGGAATTTACTGTGCTAAATTAGCAGTATTAAAGTTAAATCTTGTTTTTGATATTCTTAAAAATTCTTATTTTTTTACCAATTTTAATTTTCAAAAGACAAAGTTAAATGTAAAGCTTGTTCCATTTGTTTCATAATTCTTTTATCGAACTCTCCAAGATAATTACCTAGTCGTTTTTTATCAATCGTAGTAATCTGGTCAACTAAGGCTTTACCTTTTTGATTATTCAGATAAGTTATTACTTCAAAAGGATAAACCTTATCTAATTGGGAAGTAAGAGGGACAATGGTAATTAAAGGACTGAATAAATTCTGTTGATTATTAGAAACAATTACTCCGGGGTGAGTTCCTTGAAGTTCATGGATGATTCCTTTTTCTTTTTCTTCTTCATTAGGCAAAGGTAAATTAATTCAGTAAACTTCTCCTCTTTTGATTAATCGTTCAGCCATTATTTATTTTCTTTTTTGCTTCGCTCAACTCAGTCAGATATAGCAGCCTTTTCTCATTGTTGGGCTTCTTTATATCGATTAGGATTGCTTCAAGCTTCTCGGTAAGCTTGTCCCAATTCGGCTTCACTGATTTTTTTGGATGTTTCTTCTTGGTAAATTTCATAAGCGATTTGCTCTTGGTCTAAAAGAGTTTTTACCCTCTTTGCTTGATTAGTTTTAATAATTATTAACTCAAACATAATATTTATTTTTTACAGAAGAATAAAACTTTTATCTTTTTTTCCTAAAAAGTTTAAATAAAATGAAAGAAATGGTAAGAATTAATAAAGTTAAACCGCATCCTACGCAAAATTCTCTCCATTTTCATTGGTTTTTACTCTCATTTTCAACTTTTTCCAAGTCGTTCGTGTTTTTTTCCTTAACAGGATTTTTCGTATCTTTGGCAAATTCTTCTACAAACTGTTCCGCATATTTTTTTACTTCTTGGTTATATTGTTGCATTTCCCGGTTGTAAACTTCTATTTCTTTTGCAAACTGTTGCATCTCCTTTTTGTATTTATCCATTTCTTTCTCGTAATCTTTTCACTCTTTATTTTCTTTTTTCTTACCGATTGGTCTTATAGGCTTTATCGGCTTAATGGGTTTGATAGGTTTAATTAGTCCGGTTGGCTTGGGATATTTTAGCGGTTTAATAATTTCAGGTATTTCGGGTATTTTTTCGTCTTCTTCGTCAACAAGCAGTTCTCACAATTTTTTCTTTAATTCTTCATTATGAATAGTGTATTTTTCACATTCTTTAATAACTTCTTCTCAACCTTCTATTTTGCCATTTGGAGAATAGGAATAATCTTTACCCGCTTCAAATTTGCAAATTTCGTCCTTGATTTCTTTAACTTCTTCGGATTCGCCCTGGTGAGCAAATCAATCGATTTTTTTCTTTTCATTTCCTCCTCAACCGAAGTTAGCACTACCAGGATCAAATCTTCACACTAGAACATTTGGAACATTAATTTTACAACTTACATTTTTTATGTTTTCATCCATATATATATATATATATATATATAATTTTAAGCAAAACAAGAAGAATTTAATCCCTTACTGATTATTCAAGCGGGCACAATATCATCAATCTCCGGAAAATAAATGTATCAGCCTTCTTTTGTAATTCATATTTTTAGTTGCTTGGGTTAACATTATGTATAACAATAATTAATAAAAAAAAGGAACGAAAGAAGAAAAATATAAAAATAAACAGAACTTTTTTGCTTCAAACCTCGTCAAACCTGGCCTTTGGGTTCAGAAACATTGGCCTTGTTTTACCTTCGGTCGTTCATTTTATCTATATTATAATTTTAAACCTGCCAAAGCATTCAGCCAAGAAAAAGCCAAATTAAAAAAAGCACACGAGCCCCACACGAAGCCTACACGAAAGCCACACGAACCTCGTGTGTTTTCCTTAAAATTAAGGGCTTAAAACCTAAATTCTTAAAAAGGAAATTATGAACGACCCTAATGAAAAAATAACCTCGGCTAAACTGATCGAGGACCAAGAACAATTAAAAGCCAAATACGAAGCCGAAATCAACACCATCCAACAAGAAAACCTAAGCCTGCAAAACACTATCCTTAAAAAAGATAACGAAATCTTTGACTTGCAAAAAACTAATAAAAACCTCAGCCAAGACCGAGATGAGTGAAAAACCGAAGCCCATCGGAACCGAAGGATCGAACAAGCAAAGAAAACCACCAAAGAGCAAAACGACTTCTTAACGGAATTCAATAAACTCCAAGAAGCCAAACAAATGAAAGGAGGTAAGCAATAATGAATAACCTTAACCCCGTCTTAGAAAACTTAAAACAAAAAACCGTCCAGGAGACCCCTATTAAACTCATTTATTCTCAAAATGATTTTGCCGTCTTTGATAAAGGCTCTTCGGAATTCTACGGAGCTGAGGATGAATTCATTTCCGACCAACCCTTAGAGAATGTTAAGTGAAAGAAGGAACTCACTGAAAAAGACTTTAAAACCCTCCCTGCCGTCTTTTCTTGCAAGCTGGGCATCATAATGGATGATGTCTTCAACACTATCTTTCACAAAAAGAAGATGAAGCAAGCCCTCCAAAGTCCCAGCCATCAAGCTGCCTTAGTGGACCGACTTATCGATAGCATGAAAACCAAGGCCACCACTACTTTAAACAAAAAGCTGGTGGAAATCATTTGCACCAAAGAAAACTATAAAGATACAGCCTGGCAAGAAATCAGTCAAGCCGATGCTACCATTGACAGCCTGGACAAGGCTATCAAGATCCTTAAACTTCTCAAACAAGCCTACAATGGTATGGACGAAATCTCCTCGGACTACAACAAAGGCTACCAAAAACCCGGAGACCCCACTTGAAACGAAGTCTTTACTAACTGTGAAAGCAAAAAAA